GATTGGATTTTGTAGTATAGGTTCTCTGTTATTCCTTTTGTGAGGATTAGTGTAGTTTGGCACAGTGTATGCTATTCCAGAGCCCAAGTGTCTGTGTTCTCCATGGGCATGAGAATGTGGGGGTCCTTCTACTAAATTGGGGGGGATGTATCATGGACAACAGTGTCTATGGGGTAGATGCAGTACAGTTTGAAGTGTTCTAGAAGTCAATTTCCTAGAGTGCTGTCTAGGCATGGTGTTCTGTACACCTGCTGTAGTTAAGGTGGATGTGCAGGCCTCTCCTAGCCACGCTTACCTGGTTGTTATCTCTTTGAGCTAAAGAATTTACGTTCTTTGAGCTAAAGAATTTGCTGAAGTGTGAGCAAGAGTGGGATGTGTCGAGTAATCTGCCCTGGCCTGTTAGCTGGCTTCGCTGGGCTCATTTCAGTGTCATTGTCCCAGGGCCACATTGAGTCATGAGGACACTGAACAGGATAGTATGGCACTATTTCCTGTCACAACATTTTAACATTGAGAATCGAAGAACACCACTCAGCTCCCACATCAGCTGAGGCCATGCTGCCATTTTATACCAGCCGCCCGCCCCCAACCACGGTGTCTCTCTCCTGGTTCTTCCCCCTTATTGCCTTCTCCACCACACCCCTGCACCGCCACTGCCTCAGCTTATTCTCACCTGTTCCCCCCAGCCTAGTCTGTCCAATATTAAACTTGACAGTGCCTCTCCCGCCATCCACCTTGCTGAGATGCTGTTCACAAGCTGCTGGAAGCCAGGAAGAGCTGCTAGTTTCTAATCCATCCACCAACCTGGCTCCATCATCAGCTTTGAAGTCAGGTTTAGGGATTTTATTATCAACTGGCCACTGACCAAAATGACAGATGTTAGACAAGTTCAATCTCTTCTCTGTTTAATCAGTAACAGAAGAAGATGTAAGAGAAACCTTCAATGATCAGGCAATCCACTTCCACATCACTTTTCTTCAAATTTGAAACAAGGTCTCATTTTGTAGCCAATGCTCGTCCTGGAGTTTTTGCCCTCCTGTCCTGCCTCCCAAGTGTTTACAAATGTGGGCCACAATGCCAGTCTCCCCTAGTTTTATTTAAACTGTATCAAGCCATGGTAATAGGAAAATTTCTAAATTCATTACATAAAGCTAGAATCATTTAAGTTCCTAAATTTATAAAAAAGTTATACCAACCTCATTTATCAGTATAAAATCATAGAGAAATCGATATAAAACATATTTAAAAATCACAGCAGATATTATTCAAGATCACACTTTTTAAAATATTTATTTATTTTAATTATATGCACATGGGTGTTTGCTTACATGTATATATGTTCACCACATGTGTACAGTGCCTGTGGAAGCCAGAAGAGGGCCTCAGATTCCCCTGGAACTGGGGTTATAGGTAGTTGTGATCTGCCACATGGGTGTTAGGAACTGAACCCTGATCCTCTCTGTAAAAGCAGCAAGTGCTCTTAACAGCTGAGCCATCCTTCTAGCCCCCACGATTGTGTTTTTAAAAGTATATCATGAGTTAGAGAAACTTATTCCAGAAAGATAGAGCATTATGAAGCCTACTTTATAAACCGTCCTATTAATAAAACTGAGGAAAACATCATCTCCATAAATGCAGAAGTAGCACTTGATAAAATTCAAGACATATGTATTTTATTTTATTTTTTATTCAACAAATATGTATCAAGCACCTGTTCTTTTACAGTACCAAGGCTGCAAGAGTGAGACAAATGCTGGCCCCATTCCAGTCCTCGCACCAACCAAGGGAAGCAGTCAGTAAATACGAGAGTAAGGGGACAGGCACTTTTACCCAGAGCGTTATTTACGTGAAACTCAATGCATATCGATCGTACCAGTATAGTTAGCACACCTCTGCCAGAGACTCGCTTCTTGAGTAGGAAGTCACTAAAGGTTTTCTCTTAGAAGTCAGAAGCAAGCTAAAAGGCTCACTTTTCGCCCTTTATTATTTTAGGAGGTGGGGACAGAGTCTCGTGCCATGCCTCAGTCTGGCCTTAACTCATTATGTAATGCAGACTGGCCTCAAACTTGTGGTGATCCTCCTGCCTCAGTCTCCCGAGTCCTGGGATTCCCAGCTTGCCACATTTAATGTCCAGTTAAGGAAGAAGTTAACAAGACAGGAAAGCAGAACTGAAGTTGGGCATTAAGGACAGAGATAAGATCGTTGCTGTTTGCAGAGTACAGGACAGTGAACTATAGCCGTTTTTCATTGGTTATGAAACCTCAGCAGCTCATAAAAGCTGCAAATGAGAATCCCCAGAGAAGCAAGGAGCAGACCTATCACAAGCAATAGGAAATTTATTCAAGTGGCTGGTTTTAAAATCAATCAACTCACCTGCTGGGCCAGTGAGCCGGCTCAGTGGGTAAAGGTGCTTGCCACCATGCCTGATGACCTGAGTTCCATGCCCCAGGTCCACATGGTGGAAGGAGAGAGCCAACTCCCTCAAGCTGATCTGTGACCTCGACACATGTGCTGTGGTACACTTCCATCCAAAAATATAGTTATGTATGCTACCACCTCTGACTTTTCACTGGGTCTGGGGACCCAAACTCAGGTCCTCATGCCTGTATGGCAAATGCTTTGCTCACTGAGCCATCTCCCCAGCCCATAATACTCCAGAAAGAAGCAAATATAGACTTGAAGAAATGGTTAGAAATGCCGTGTTATTTGGGAAGATACAACATTATAGAGACATCCGCTTTCCTTAATGCAAAACCTTTATGCAACGACAATAATGTTTTGTAAAGGCTTTCCTGGTAACATAAGGCAGACTATGACTACGCCTTCATTCACAATACTACGTGTGGTGGTTTGTAGGGGGTGGAGTTGCCAGGCCCAGGAGCAGGTTGCTGAGGAGCTGCTTGGGAGAAGATGGCTTTGCTTTGGGTTTATACATGTTGTATCATCGTTCCTGTCTCCACGCCACTGCTCTGAACCCTGACCCAGATAGTCCTCCAGGGTCCAGCATTCAGGAGGCTCATTTGTTTCCTCATGTCAGTAAACCCAGCCTGGGTGAGTGTTGTGGTGCTGTTAGTTTGCCCACCTTTGTGTGACATGGGTCCTCCACTGGTCCCCACTGGGTCTTTTCACTCATGGGAGACATCATTTGAGTGGCCTGGATTCATTCCTGTTGCTATGTAAAGCATCCTACCTAAAGCAAATTAGGAGGAAAGGGATTTATTTGATTTACAATTCCAGATTATAGTCCAGTGGTGATAGGAAATAGAGGCCGGAACTCGAGCAGCTAGTCACGTCATATCCGCAGTCAAGAGCGAAGAAAGGACACACACACACACACACACACACACACACACACACACACACACACACACACACTGCTTGCTTGCTTGCTGCTTATGCTCAGCTAGCTTTCTTTGCTCCTATGTCTCGGAATCCCCTTCGTAAAGAATGACGTTTCCCACAATGGGCTGGACCCTTTCCTTGTCAATTAACCATCAAGACAACCCCACACACATGCCCACAAGCCAAATGAGCTAGTGCATTCCTCAAATTCCTCAAGTGAGACTCCTTCCCAGTCATTCTAGGCTGTCACAGGGAGGACAGCCTTTGGTGGGTTTCCCGGTTCACCTCTGTAGTTGTTTCCTTCTCCTGACCACACAGGATGCTAGATAAGAATGCCAAGGTGGGAAAGACCAGGCCACCTGCTTCCAGTGTAGTGCTCTGGGATGATTTTGGTGGGGAGGGATGGCGGGGGAGGTCCACATTTGTTGTTTTCTTTTAGCAGACAGCTCAGAGTTCGAGCTTCTCTCCACCTTGTAGTTTTCATTTCAAACTGATCATTTACAATGAGTTGTAGAGTCTTCATTCTGTTATGAAAGCACTGTGTGTTCCCGGCCTTTCCCCTTCGGTTCTTCTCACTGGGACCTTCCTGCTCTCCCCGATCCCCTGTATACTCATTCAGTGTGTGACCTCCCTTCCCTCATCCTCTCATCCTGGTGCACTCTCCCTCCATGCTCCCTGCCTGAAAATTTTTCATTATTCAGTGCCATGTTCAAAGATTCTCTTAAAAAAATAATTTGCCTTGTTTCCAGCTGAATTTGAAATGCTGGCATTTATCAAGGCAAATCGCCCTTTGATTTCTCAGTAATGTGTATTTCTTCTGAAGCTCCCTGTTCGACTGAATTTTAATGCAGACATCCTGTGGCACCTGGATAGTTTCCGAATAGTTTGCTTATTGCACTGTACAGAGCTGGCATCAAAAAGATCCCTGAGATCGGATTAGGAAAACCAAAGGGGCTTAACTTAGCCATCGAACTAGACTCACTCTCTAAATTGTCCATGAGATCTCAGCCTTTGGGAACTATAACTGTACACTTCATGATATGTTTTTTCTGGGGACCATATAAGCACATAGAGATGAGGCCGAGCATGCGACCACACCCTGGAAGTGTCCTTTTTAATACTTGGAACTAAACTGGCCCAAACTGCACATAAAGAAGACCCATGATTGGCAATGTATTTTTAATCGTTTTAGTTTTATTTTTAATTACATGTCTGTATGTGTTGGGTGTTGGAGTGTGTTCATATGAGTACAGTTGCTGGAAGAGGCCCGAAGAGAGTGTCAGATCCCTTGGGGCTGGAGTTACAAGTGGACTGCCTCACATAGGTGCTCGGTACTCCACTTGGGGTCCTCTGCAAAACCAGTGTATACTCTTAATCTCTCAGCCCCAATAACGTATTTTTAAAATCTAAGTCCCCAAAGTAATAAGTTGTTTACATTTACAAGCGCATGTATATGCATTCGCCCATGCGTTTGCATGCACATGCATGTGCACGTGCCACGTGAGGTTAGAAGACCCAGCATTGCTGACTGTCCCGCCTTACTACCTGCTTCACCTTTTGGTGAGAATGAAACTAACAAGACAGGAGCCATTTGCAAGTGTCTGTACCTTCTGTCCCTATGAATTATTCTTCAAAACCACGTCTCTTTTCTCTTCCAGGAAACTAGAGGCTTTGAAGTCACAAGAAGAGAAGGTAGGAAAAATTTACTTACATCGATATCATTCTTGGCGCTGACATTTTGGAAGAGGCTTGGAACTAAAACTAAAATGAACTTAGACTACGGGCAGCCTGTCCTTTGAAGTACCGTGTGGTCTTTCCTGCATGCTAGCTGTTTGCCTCTTGCTTCCAGAGAGCCAAGAACTTCAGGCTGGGTTTGCCTGTGAGAGCAGAGTTTCTGCTTTTAAGTATCAGTGGTGGCTCCTGGGAACTAGCTCACTAACCACCACATCTGTGGTCTCTGAAGACCCTCAGTGTTGGGTGACATTTGAAGTCATTTGGTTTCACCCAGAAGAAAACATCAATAATACACACACACACACACACACACACACACACACACACACACACACACACACACACACTCACACTGGTTTATGGTTTGGGGGCTTCACTGTTGGGCAGGCAAAGCCTCTATGAAAAATGGTTCTGATTAGATTTTTACAGCTTCATCTAAGCCAGAATAAAAATAACCAATTAATTTCCCCTTTGAAAACAATTCCATGATGTTCCATTTTCTCTGCCAGCCTTCCTCTGGCACATTTGTTTTCTGGTCTCAGAGGTAAGCATGTACGGATGGCAATTTCAGAATCTTCTAATGGAAATTTCTCTTATTTACTTTCAGTAACAGCTAGTCTCTAACGAGAGAATGTCTTTTGTGTGATTTGTGGAATCATCTCTTTATTGTAGGGATGGGGAGTGAATCAAGTCAGAAATCGTAGTGTATTCTCAGCCTAGTGCATAGGCTTTGGTTTTAGCCTTAGTCACAGCTTCCTCTGTGGAATTGTCTCCTAAAAGAGTAATGATGGGATCGGAAAACATCCTTGACTCCTAAATCGAACGTATCTTTTCCTCCTTGTTAGTTAGCACCTATGCTACACATTGCAATGAGAAGCTTGGATAACTGTGGTACCAGCATTTACGAGCTGGGTAACACACTGGCAGTACTGTCCATACCTGTCACCCAAGTGGCCGTCATCACACTTCTGAAACCAGAAATTCAAAAGAGCTGGGTAATCTGATTCCAGCAGGAACTTTCTGGCTTCCACGGACTCAGTGTGCAGTGGCCCCTGGACCGTATCAATGGGGAAAACCACGCTCCTTGGATATTGATACTGAATTAAATTGGATAAAGGTAGATGGAGGGCAGTGTTCATTTTTGAAAATTATGTTCCCAGTGGGACCAGTGACTATGAGCTGGAGAAAAGGAAGGAAGGTAGAAGTTGGCATACACTGTGTGGCTTTGAATAAGTTATCCGTGTGAGTACCCCTGGCTGAAAATGTCTGAAGTTGATTTGCATGAAGGAATCACATATAAACTTAACCATTTTGTAATCATCTAGTCAGTGTGTTGAAATCGTCTTTGACTAGGCTGGAGTTATGGGACAGCCCTGTGTATTTCATTCCAAAGACAAAAAAGTCCTCACTGAACTTCCAGGGCTTCAAATCCCCCAAAGGATGATGGTGAGCACACCAGATCGGGCACAAGAAGGGCAGGCTAGGCCATCTTCATTCCCAGCTCCTGCTTCCTGAGCAGCAGCCTCCATGGTGACTGCCTGGGAACATGCTCTTTGGGCTGTTATTAGCAAGTCTCTCCTGACGTCACAAACATAGTTTCTTCCTATTGTGAAGGATGTCTTCCTTGTTTGCTTCCGTCAAAGTTGAGTGTTTGAGAGTTCTTGAAATAGCGCGATGTCAATGCTTGTCACACGGCGATGAATGGGACTTCCAAGTGTTTGGGGGCCTGAAAATTCACTGTCATGGGTTTTGGGGGTTGTTAATCTTCAGAACAGTCTATTAGTATAAAAAAATAATAACAGTGCTGTGAAAATTTCACTGAATTATTCCTACCAACAAAAATAGATCACTATTGTCCAGCAGCATTCATGTTGGGGTGAGCCCTTGCCCTGACTTGGCCTGGAACAGGAGAGGTCAGTTATGCTCAACTCAGCAAGCCCTGGGGGGTCCAGAGTGATGAAGAAAGATCACCCTGAGTGATGTTGGAGTCGAAAACGGCAGCCTCCTGATCACAGAATCTGAGAGGGGGATCAGGGAGGTGGCTGCCTGAGACTTTATTCAATGCTCCTACAGCCTGTATGCTTTGCACCTCATCCAAGTCACCTCTATTTCATACCATCCAACTCTTCCCTGAAGCAGGTGGCTGATGCTGTTAGTCCATCCTATTCATCACCTAAAAGCAGAAACCTCTTCTATTCCTCTCTATGTTCCCCATAATTCACCGCTACTTCTACCCTCCCCAACTTCATGTCCTTTTTCTCATAAACAATTGGGTCCAATTTGTGATGCCTATAAGCACATGAATGTAAGGGCATCTATTTAGGCACAGGCAACCTATTAGATACCATACCCTTAAAGAAAAGAATTCTCTCTCTCTCTCTCTCTCTCTCTCTCTCTCTCTCTCTCTCTCTCTCTCTCTCTCTCTCTCTCGGCAGCCAACAGCTGTCAGTAGTTCCTGAGCTATGGGTGACAGGCAGTGAGCCCCCTCGAATCCATGCTAGAGTGTTGCCTGGCTTGATCTCACATCAGCAGCTGCAGCTGGGATGAGTTCACGTGTCGTGGTCCTGTATGTCCAGAAGAGAGCGTTTCAACCCAGTCCTTCCTGCCCCAGATCTGCCTCTTAGACTACCTCTGCCCCTCTTCCTTGACGTTTCCTACGCCTTTGGCAGAGTAGAGATGATAGAGATGTTGCAGCTGTGGCTGAGGACCCCACAATCTCTTCTCTGCCCTTTGACCAGTTGTGAAGTTCTGTGTTAACCACTGTCCGCTGCACAAAGAAGCTTCTCTGGTGAGGGTCGAGAGTGCCATCATTCTATGGGTGTAGAGAAACAACATCTTGATCCTGCTCATTAGGAAGCAGAAGACAGTTTGATATTATGTCCATTTAACAAAATAGCCATAATACGTTCACCCCTAGGGCCTATGAGCTCCCCAGCCCTGGGTTCTTGGCAGGATTTACAATATCAGTCACACATCTTTACTTGTGGAGCAGGCCTGAAATCAGGAAGAGGTTGGTAAGCCCTATAATGTTCATGCCACTATCAAGCCCATGGACATATCTTGCCAGACTGGTTGTTATTGTAGCTTTCCCAGTCAGTTCACAGCTGGGTAAGACTGATGATGACTTTTCTCTCCCATCAGCCTGCATAGGACCTTGTGATAACAATCATTTATTGAATTAAATCAAGCTACTCATTTGCACCCTGGTCTCATCTTCATGATATACTAGCAAGGACCCAAGGCCTTTGGGTTTTAAAAAGATAATTTAAAAGAGATATTCTGAATTGTTACTACTAGTTTTTAAAATACCATTATAGTTCTTAAGTGCATTGCCATCTCTGGTGATTATTATATTCAAATAGGTTCTAATAAAAAGAAAAGGCCATTCTGGGTACATCCTCTGGATATTCCTGGGTGATACATTAATAATAGGACTTCAGGTTCAAATCAGCTTGGTGTTTTGAGGTGAATGTAGAGCCATATTTCTCAAAGAAAACAGACAAACTGACAAAATGGTATATTGAAGTCCTAAGCCAGAATCTGTGAACATGACCTTATTTATTAGGGTCTCTCCAGACAATAGACATACCAAGTTAAGGCAGAGTCATACTGGTTCAGTGCTGACATTAGTTCCATGAGTGGCAGTGGGAACTTCTTATCTAGACACAGAAGGAGAATGCCATGTGAAGGAAGAGACAGGGCATCGCTGACAACCACTAGCTAGGAAAAGGCATGGGGCATTGTCCCCTAGAGGCCTCAGAGAGGAGCCATGAATGGTCCGGCCAACCCTCCATTGATTTTGGTCATCTGAGTTTCAGAACTGTGAGAAGATGAATTCCCGCTTCCGAAGCCTCCTAGTTTGTGGTACTTTGATACTGCAGCCCTAGGGCGCCAGTATATTCAGAAAGTGCTGAACTCCAAAAACCAGATGAGTTGTGTGGCTGCAGTTGAGTTAGTTTGGGCTGTAGAATCACTCTGACTTTTGTGTTAAATCCACTCTCAGCAGGGAAGATAATAGGCAGCGTATTCCCGAATCGGCTTCCCATGGGATGAAACAAATGTAACTTTGCTGGCGTTCAGGGCTGGCACTGCACTCAGTGCCTTTGAGAGGTCTGCTGCAGCGGATCCAGGCAAGCGGATGGCTTCCTCGGTGGCCAGGCAGCAGGGGCTAAGCCTGTCTGGAATGGTGAGGGGGTGCAATGATGCTCACTTACTCATTATGAAGTTTCAGAGAATTCATTATCTCCCTCGACCTTGGATGCTCCAGGACACAAGCAGAGCAGCCAGCACCTTACATCCGAGGCTCCTCCAGTTCCGTGTGTCAGTGGAGAGAAGGACTCTCCCCGCCCTCTACTCTTAGAGGTGGTGGTTGTGTAAGGTGTCTGCTCTCGATTCATGCCCATCAAGGGATAGTGCACATCACATGGGGTACCAAGCCTATACAGCCGAGAGAAGTTCATGAAGGGGGGGGTTCCTGAGACTTTGTATCCAAGTTCCTAGTAAAGATTGGGGTAGGACAGTAAGACCACAGGTTGTCTCTAGGCCAGGAGACGTGTCCTCCCTAGAGGGAAAAGGCCGTTGCTTCTGTATTACAGCCCTGTACTGACCTAGTATCCAGGACTCACCTTACTAGCTGCTGCACAGGAAAGTAGGCATGGCTACATTTTGTCTGCTTTCTAAAACAATGTTTTCCCCCCCACATCTTTCCCCAGACATCTAAGAACACATGGTGTGTGTGTGTGTGTGTGTGTGTGTGTGTGTGTGTGTGTGTGTGTGTGCGCGCGCGCTTATGGAGGTTAGGGGTGAATGTTAGGCATCTTTTCCACTGAACCTGGAGCTCACTGATTCACCTGGGCTGGCTGACCTGTGGATCCTCCTGTCTCCACCTGCCCAGCACTGGGATTACAGACTCACACCACCCTGCCCAGCATTTTTCATGGATGATGGGGATCTGAACT